TTTTCATTTAATTGACAAATTTATTTTCTTTCACATCTCGTTTTAGCTTTTAGTTGTAGTTAACTATAATGACCTTTTGTACCTGAGACATCAGCTTGGGCTTGTGTCTCCCTCAGGACCCCCACTGATAGCAACCAGTGGGATTGATACCCCCAACCACCAATCTGCAATCACTTCTTCTCCTCCCGTCGGACCGCCTGGTGTGGGCCTACCTCCTACACTTCCTCCTCCTCCTCCACCTCCTTCCTCGACCTCATCTGTGTCTCTGCGTCCCCAATATGTCCAGTCTGAATGTAAGCAGGGCTGCTTTTGCTTTTCAGATTGGGACTGTGTATTTGGAAGAGATTTTGCTGTGTTGCTTTTTATTTGGGTGTTCCTTTTAGTGTGTTTATGTTGTTGAGTTGTTATTTTTTACTTCTCATTTCTGTGTGCTTTAATAGTTACAGTATAATAAAGGTTAGTTTACTAAATATCTAAAATAACTAAGATGGTCAGGGTTATTTAAAACAAAAACACTTTTTGGTTCTGTTTCTGTTTCCTGTCACTGTAAAGTGGTTGTTGTATGCCGTGCGTGCGTGCTGTTTGTGCACAATTGGCATGTGTTTCTTGAGCCTGCAGTAACAGTTGTGGACCAGAAGGTAGCGCTGTGTATTAACCTAAAAACAAAAAAAACCAAGCATCTCTGGGAAATTTTGTCGTGACCCATTTAGTTGAGTGCTTCCTGCTATGATTATGCACATGAGGGTTTCAGTTACAGACTCTTTAAAAGACTTTAAAGAACTAAAAAGAAATTGGTCTATTTGGTATTTGCAAACTTTGGGTTTGTGATCTGTTACCACAACTGCCGCGAAGGGCCTCTTTCTGATAATTTTGCACTTGTGTGTCACAAATGTAGATAAGAATGAAAAGCATCATCTTGGTTGTTAATTTTTATCTTTGTTTGTTTCTTGCTGGGTTATTTTGCGCAGTTACAATAACTGTAATTTTTATTTCTCACATTTTGTAGGTTTTGTTCATAAATTTTCAATTTTAAAATGTGTCTTTATCCTGGACTACATGTTATGTTAAACTCATGTCACAGGTTGCTATATATTCAGTGGTTACATTTAAAGTCAAAGATTCTTTTTTTATTAATATGTTTGCTTGTATTCACTTTTTCATATTTTTACATTTTTTCATATTCCCCCCCTAACGGTATGTGCGTCTGTTCACTTTTACACATTAGACAACTACGATGCAGAAGGCTACAACCCAGAATCTCCAGGCCTGACTGTAGCAGGACGTAACCCATATCGTCAGTTTATTCCCCGGGTGCAGACTCAACGCTCCAACCTCATTGGCCTCACCTCCAGTGAAGGTCAAGGCTCCAGAGGTAACGAACTCTTTTACAGTGTTTTAATTCAACCTGATCCTGGGAAATTGACCTTCTCAGACTGATTTGACTTCTTGCGTATCTTCTAGCTGCCAACATAGTGATCCAGACAGAGCCAGCTACTGCACCCAGCACTCCTGGAAGTAACGTGTCCCGTTTCAACACAGAGCAGGACAGCAGGAAGAGGACCATGGGACCCAGTACAGCTGAAGGGCCAGCACCTAAAAAACCCTGGATGGAAAAGTAAGAGATTAAAGAAAAAAAATGTACATATTTGATTTAGGATGTCATTTATTCTGCACAGTGTTTTGTTTTCTGTGAAGAAATTGGAGTACGGTAGCCAGCTGAAATGTAATCAAGTTGGTGCCTCACCCCATTACTTATTACTGCTAAGGAGCTTTGTTTTAAGGTGAGGTGAGTCAGGTCAGCAGCAAGTGTTGTCTCAAGTTGTAAGCAGGTAGATACAAGCATCCCAGTCATGAGGATTTCTTTGCACCACCTCTACTTGGAGTACATTTAAACTGTCCTATAGGTTGTAGGTTGGTAGTAGTCTTCTGTAAATAAAACCATAATATGGCCGAAACTTGAATCCCAGATCATCAATCATCGCTAAATTTTGATTAACTCATCTGCTTTTTTCCTTCATTTATTTTTTATTTTTTTATGAAAACAAAACTACCAAATTAGTGATGTTAGCACTGAAATGTTCTTTTTAGACCGAGCTTCAACAACCAGCATAAGGGTGCTTTTCCCAAGAGGACTTTTTACGTGAACACAAAGTTGGAGGTGCGTAGGATCCCGCGCGAGCTCAACAACATCACCAAACTCAACGAGCACTTCAGCAAGTTTGGAACCATCGTCAATATACAGGTAAAATGCATCCATTTTTGTTTGTTGTTGTTGTTGTTTTTTTTTTTTTTAATGAGTGCTCCCCACAAAGTTCATAGAGATTAGGCCTGCAGGAGAATGAATTCAAAACATTTACGGACTTGCACGTGCACTCTCAATCCAGGTTGTGTTTGGCGGAGACCCAGAGGCAGCATTGATCCAGTACACAAAGAATGAAGAAGCCAGACGAGCCATATCCAGCACAGAAGCGGTCCTTAACAACCGCTTTATCCGCGTGTACTGGCACCGCGAGCTTGGTGCTAATGCCACAGGCCTTCAGCAGCAGGAGCAGAGCTCAGGGAGCCAGGTGGCCGGGTCAGTGCCCAACCAGGGGCTGCAGCACAGCAACATGCATAAAGTTGGTATTAACAGCGGAGACATTGAGAATCCTCTGATGACAATTTTATATGTTTTTTTTTAAATATCCATTGATTTACCCTCACTCGTTTTATCTGCAGGGGATCAAGCAGCACAATCCAGCTGCTTATGTGTTGAACAAGACTGTACCCAAGCATCATCTGTCTGCAACAGCTGGGGCCACGACAAATGCCAAGTCGGACAACCTGAATCCAAACACGGACACGGCTGCTGTATGTTTTAAGTTTATCTTGCAGACAATATCAGGCAAAGTGGATATTATATAATATACAAAAGTATAATATTATGATAGCATGTGTGTTACAACATTTTCACAGTGATTTATGTGTGTTTGTTAGCTAAAATTGTATTTGTAAAGAAATTACTTCTATATTAATTTCCTTTTTTTGCCCCTCCACCTTTCTCCTTAGGTGGTGCCTGCTCCTACAAACACCCTGAAGGGCCACTACACTTCCACAGCCGCCAAGTCTTCCTCAAAGAGCCTTGGGAAAACGGGAAAAGCACTGGAAGCACATGAAGCTCTCAAGAAAAAGCAGGCACGTTGCTTAACTTGGTTACGTATTTTGACCATTAAAAGAATAGCAGAGCTAAGCCATTTCCTTCTCTCAGGAGCCACAGCTAAGAAGGCTACCACTGAGAGAGAAAACTGTTTGGGGGTTTTTCATCTCAGCGAATGTTTTTGATTTCCTTTTTCTTTTCCCCTCCTTTAGGAGGCACTAAAACTCCAGCAAGACATGAGAAAGAAGAAACAGGAGATGTTAGAGAAACAGATTGAGTGTCAGAAAGTAAGACATTTAACATTGAAACTATTCTTATCTGTAATCCTTCCTCTTTTTCTCCAGTGTACTGTCAACGTTCTTTCTGATACCATTTTTCGTGCCCTTCCAGGCGCTGATAAGTCGGCTGGAGAAAAACCGAGGCATGAAACCTGAAGAGAGGGCCAACATCATGAAAACGCTGAAAGAACTAACGGAAAAGATCACCCAGCTCCAGAATGAAATGAACCCTGCCTCCCAGGTCTCAAGCGCCAAAACTAACCACAACCAGCCCAAAACCAAGACTGATGTAAGTTTGGCTTCCTTTTTGTCTTTGTACGTAACTGAGAGTAGGGGCGGAAAATTTAGGCCGAAAATTATATCACACATTGGTAGAGTTGTTTATTTGCCTTTTTTCACACTTCACAGGTCCTTTTTAAAAAGGCGTTTATTCACATAAAAAACATTTTTATATGAAGAATAAAACTGCATACATTGAGTAGGTAGATGTTTATGAGTTTTAATTTTTTAATATACATTTTGTGTACTCTAAACCTTAGATGCTGGTGTATTAAGGTATTTATGGGGTCTTTATTAAGCAGTAGAAAGAAAGAACCTCCAGATCTCAATTTATAATATCTTAAAAATATTTTCTCTGTGTTTTCTAAGTTTAAGAACTATATAATATCTCTGAGCCACTGGTAAAGGGAAGGGAGAGTACATTCCTTTCTTCTTTTTAGGGTTAGACAGCTTGCCTCGAGTGTGCTAACCGCATCAAGGGTTGGTGAGAGTGCGTAGGATTCCACTGATGTTAAACCAAAACGTGTCAAAAAACATTCTCTAAAGGCTCTAAAACTACTTGACCACAATGTATAGACATTTACGTATATACAGGATATGTGCACACAGGCTGTCCTATATACCAACTGCTCAGCCTCAACGAATCTTTGCTGTTTTCACATTTGTTTTCTCCTCTTTGCATTTAGTTGTGTCCTAGTCCTAGGCCCTTTTCAAATTTCAGCTGTGTGATGTTGAGTTCCTATACCTGGGATTGGGTCCTTTTTAGTCTGAATGCAATGAAAAAATTGGTTCTTTTTGGGGGGGTTTGTTATTTTTCCTGGAAATTCCAAGGAATGCTTATACAAATCTTTTAATCCATATTGAAAGAAACGGTTCTTACACTAATCTTAGGTTTGCAAAAACTGAAAAAAGATCAAAAAGTAATTGTTGGTTCTGAACAGGACAGAAGTAGAGGATCTGTTTGAATATTGGGTGCATAGGAATAAAGTTTTTTTGTTTTTTTTATCACAATTTCGATTCACATAGTTTTGTCTTGATTGACCTTGTTAGACCAACAGCACACTCCACCCCCCCCTCCTTTATTTGTAAACACAAGTTGATATTTGTGTATTTAATTGCTTCTCTGGATTAAGTAAACAAATTTCTTTTCTATGACATGCGATCAGGCCCAGAAGGAGCTGCTAGATGCTGAGCTGGACTTTCACAAGAAGATGAGCTCTGGAGAGGATACAACAGACCTCAAAAGAAAACTGGGGCAGCTACAGGTGGAGGTAATACACTCTCTCTCTCACACACTCACAAACACGCACAGAAAATACACATGGATAGAAACAGACACAAAGTTAATCATTGACAGCATCTTGCATCATCAACACTTTTGTTGAGAACTGAATTAGAGGATGTGATACCAAGAAATGCCTTGGAGGAAGTGTGCAGATGAGATTATAGTCGCAGCCTGTTCTGCAAGGGGTGGAAAGAGATGGTATCTGTCCACCAATAAAATAAATCAAACAATGTATTGAATTCATTAGTTTATTTGTGTTCTGTCAGATGTGTCAGCCAGAAAGAGGTTTTTTTTAAACCATCTATGTTCTGTTTGTTTTATTTGACTCTGTGATAACTGGAACCTGATCCTGCAGTTTCTGCACAAGCTCCAGATCCGCTGTGTTTAGTGTTATTTGCTCAGCTCGAAGCTTCGTAAGAGTCCTAATGAATCTGACGCTAACGTCTTGGTGATACCACAAGACACCTACACAAGATGTAAATGACCTGTGCTTCCTTCCTGTTAAAAGGGTGTTTCTCTTTCCCGCTTACCCCAATCGCTACTCATAGGGGACCAACTGACTGTTGTGGTTTGCACACTATCGTCACGAGGTCTTTACCTTGCAGCATAATTGCCTTGAGGCGACTGTTTTTGAGAACTGGCCTTATATAAATAAACTTGAATTGTATTCAGTAATTTAAAAAAAAAAGAGGTTTATGGTAAATTTTCAGTTTACCTCTGTACTGTTATCTTAGTCGGCTCCAGTAGTTGCCATCCTCCAGATGCTTGCTTTGTAGTCCCCTCGGGGTTTTGACACATCAGATTAAACAGCATTTTATTACTACACTCCATCAACGTGTAAGGAGGTAGACTTACACACACTTATCTACTGAATTGGTGGCTTTTCTTGAGGTAACTAGTATTGCAGTTTTGTTTGGAGTATTTGTACATTATATTTCATGTTCTATAACTTGCATTTAACCTCATCTTTGTTGCATTCATTCTGGATCAGGTCTCTTGTAAGTTAGCATGGTTTCCTGGTTAAAGGAGCAATGACACATAAATAACACATCTTCCCAGTGATTCTGCCAAAAGTCATTAATTAGGTTTCAGGTTAGGTCATGCAGCCCATACATTTATTTATTTGTATTTTTTGGTGTTACACACAAAGTGTTTTTGTCTTCTTTATCCTCTAAATTTGCTGTGCACGCAGACGGCTGTTGCTTAAGATCAGGCTAACAACAACATAGCTTTTGTTAGCAACAACCTGCTTTGCATTTTTTTTTCCTTTAACCCCAGGGTCTTAAATTGGCTAGTTGTTTAAAAATGGATATGCATCCCCCATCCATCTAAACTCAGCCCGCCTTCTGCACATTAAACTGGAGCCACTTAAGCAAGCCCAGAGGAACATCTGCTAACGAAGCCAAATAAGACACACGTCCTACACTGATGGAGCTGCGCCTCATTAAAGTTTGAGACACTGGTCCTTGTAAGAAAATCGCAGGATGACAATTAAAGGGAGAGTGGTTGTGAGCTTGTGGAGTGTCTGAGAAGGAAGGAGATGTTTTTAAAAAATGGAGGAGTGACAACTAGTGGTAAAGGGCAGAAAGTGAGAGAGTAAGGGTGTGTAGGAAATGTTTCAGCTCTGAAGGGTTGTGATGGCCTGCTCCTTTTTGTTGTTTTTGTACTTTTCCATAAACCTTTTTTTTTTTTTAAGTTATTCAATATATAAATTAGACACACAGTGGTGTGTAATTGTGTACTGAAATCAAACAGCATCCAGTCAGCCGCCCTTTCTGTCCTCCTTTAGGCAACACGTTTGGGTTTGATCCGGCCTCCAGCAGGACGAGGTCGCGGCCGAGGAAAGCTGGGCCCAGATCCTGGTGCGATGCACGTGGGCCGTGGCCGGAGTCGAAACCGGGAAATGATGGCGCGCGGTGGGGCTGTGAACCGCATGGTGGTTGATCACAGACCCAGAGCCCTGGCTATTTTAGGGGTCACTCAGGAGGAAAAAGAAGAGCTAATGCCGCACTTTGTGGTAAGAATATGACAGGATCTCTCCCTCCAGTAATACAGCACGATGTTGTTGCTAAGTAATAAAAACTGTAGTAATAAATACCACTTTATTCCCTCTTATATCTTTTACATATGTTAAGTGAATAATTTTCCCTGTGATAAGTCATAAATGTTTTGATGTGTATAACTATATCCTGATTGGCCAACTGATATTTTTAAACCTAGAAATTTGGTGAAATCGAGGATCTCCGTGACCAAGACGCCAACAGTGTCGTCATGACCTTTAAGACACGGAGTGAAGCAGAGAATGTAAGTCACATGGCTCCAAATGTGTATGGGCTACATGTTCTCTTAATCTTGCTGCTTTTCCTCTGATCCTCTTATAATAATAATAGAATAAATTAATAAATTAAAATGATTAAAATACTCCAGTATAGCATCTAAAAGAGCTGTACCTCTCTTTGGTGTTCTAGGCAGCAAACCAGGGAGCTAAGTTCAAAGGTCGTGTTCTGCAGATTTCCTGGTACAAGCCCAAGACACCCTCTGTTACAACGGAGCCAGAGGAAGAAGAGGCTAAAGATGATGACAGTGCGGTATGACAAATACACACACAGCTTCATGTTTTCCCAGTAACTAAAACAAATTAAGGAAAGGGCGTTGTGTACAACACAACTTGAAAATCTGAGTTGGGGAAACTTTTGAAGTTTTAGTTACATTCACAAAATTTTACTTGGTTATTTCTTTCTGCTGCTTGTTAATTTTTAACAGCAGCTCCCAAAGGAAAATGAGTGCTAGCCTCTCAGTACTAAGAGCATCTTGGCCCCATGAGTAAAACTGCATTACTGTCAGGTGAAATCCTTATGCTGTATTTATTTAAGGGGTTTGTTTCCCCCTTTGAGGTTGTGCCATTTCTTATATGTAACTTTTGTTTTTAAAGGTACGGTTGCCATTCTGAAAATGTGTCTGTGCACAGGTAGAAATTTGTGGTGCTTAGATTTGTGGTCAGATTTCCTCTGACTGCAGATCTACTTATAGCCACTTCATGCTCATCACGTTTTCTCACAGGAGCTGAAACAGACAGATTTCTGGACAGGTCTACAGACTAGTTTGACTGGCAGAGATTAGAATTAATTTCCTGAGACTGATCAGCTAGTCACCCGTCATGGTGGATTCACCGATGGTTAACCAATAGAATGGAGGATGTCTAAATCTAAAGCATAAGAAATATCAGAAGCAGGCAGTCTGACCACTATAGGATTTTTAAGACCAGTACCAATATTTGGTGATTTTAAAATCTGATATTCCAGTATATTTTTGGATTGTTTTTTTTTCTTTAAACAGTTACCTAACATTTTTTAAAAATTGCTAATATCAGGCTAAATAATTTCCCTCTGCTACACTTTGAATCACTTTCTGTTTGCTGTGTTCTAAACATGCATGTTGCCAGGAGTAAAGCTGACTTAAAGTTTCCATAAAAAGCATAAATATAAATGCTAACATGGTCTTTATTTCTACAGAAGGAAGCCAGCTCTTATTTACCTGGTGAGGAAGAGGAAGAAGAGGAGGAGGAAGAGGATGACGATGAAGACGATGAGTACGAGAGTCGATCTTGGAGGCGATAATGACATTCGTCATTATCATTAACTGCTCTCCGGCAGAATCAGTGGTCCCCCACTCCCACTCCCACGCAGATTAAAATTGATGTAAAGGAACTCACTTTTTTTCCCCCCTTTCCAGTATTTTCAAAGTAATTTTAGACTCTAATCAAAGTAAAAGAAAAAAACGTCTTTACTTTATTGTACATGAAAAGAAGTGTAGATGGTCAACAGTTTTTTGTATCCCTCAACTAAACAGTTGTTTAAAACATCTCACTTTTGCTGAGAAAGATACATGTTTAGTTGTTCTTATAGCTAGAAAAACTTATGTAAGTTTCTGTGTGCTTACCAGATGGACAATATCAGTAATGCACAACATTTGTGTCGACTGTGAATAGGTATTTTTATACATACTGTATTTAAGCTCTTTTTCTCACCAGTTTTTGTAGAATCTTGTCCTCCGTTCAGGGACAGCCATTCCATCACCAACAGAACGTTCTCTGCCGCTACCACAGAGAAATTTATTTATTCTTTTTCCACACTGCATAAATGCACTGTGCCGTACCGATATTGGCAAAGTATGGTACAGTTTTCACTTTGCTCATAGTTTTGATGTGGTAAAGCCCAACGTGTTAAAGGATTGTGTCTTTCTTTTTTCCTAAATGTGTGCTGGTATGAATATTTGCCAGTGCACATGCATGTTGGTGTTCCTAATAAACAGACAGACCCATAGAGATGCTGTACCGTGGCCATACAGCCAGTGCAGGTACAGTAGGATACCAGTGCAATAAAAAAAAAAAAACACAATCAATGTTTACAAACTTCCATGCACTTCACATACAGTCATGTAGTCATGTTCGGGAAAAAATCGCCCCCACACACTTGTATTTTGTTGCTCACTCAGTTGTCCAGTGCCACTCTGTGTAAATACACACCCAAACACATGTTGTAATGTTCATCTGCTAAGAGTGCGTAACATTTTCACTTGTTTTCTTCTGTCACTTGGTCATTCAGAGGCCCTGACGGGACAAAGATCAGATCACCCATTTCAAAAATGTGAGATCCATAGACAGGTGTTTGAATGTAATGCTTAAAAAGAAAAAAAAGAATATATAAATAATTTCTTTGCCTTACACAGTCAGCGGATTGCTGAGTTTTTACAGGACGTGATTTACTTTTGTAAATTTTGTAAATGCTTGAAAGAGAAATTACTGTTCTTTTTTTTTTTTTCTTTAAGTTTAATAATTTTTTTTTTTGTTTTTTTCCCTTTTTTTTTGGTTTTAACGACTGATGAGGTTGTATCAGGTAGAAAATGTTGAGCAGGAGAGCTTAGCATCTCTGCTTTAGTCGCAAGAATTTTGTATTTTCAGTTCAACCAGTTCATATTGTTATTTGACTAAACTTGTCATTTAAGTAGGTTTTTGTTTGTTTGTTTGTTTGTTTACGAAATATAAGAGCTGCTCCGAGCTGTGGAAAACACTCTGAAAGACACTGAGTCATGCCCATAACAACATGATTTAGCTTAAGTGCAGCTTTGCCTCTATCTGAATATTGTCAAACTGTGCTCCGAAGCCACTCTGTGAGTAAAACCACAGTGTGTGAGTTCATGATAAATATTTTTATTTTCTGTTTTGCCTTTTTTTTTTTGCCCATATACTGTATTTTAGAATCCTCAAGGTGGGAGGAATCTAAAACCATTAAAACTCACAAATGTATTTGGTTAAAGAATTAGTCCTGTTGCTTCCCTTCCACCAGATACATTTACATGCAGCTTAATGACGTTTTGTTTGATTTATGCTTTTCGTAACTCAGCTAAACTGATCATATCCAGTTTGAATGAAGCACCATAGGAGAAGAAAGACTTTAACTTATTACTGTGCAGACTTTACACAAGACATGCGTGTAGAAATGTGCACATATATATATATAATAATATGCACATTTTGGCCTGCATGGTCATATATTCAGTCAGTGATTACAATTGGTTTTCTTTGCTCCCTAATGCACGCTGGCACCGCATCTAAAAGGGTGCAGGTCTTCCTCCCACCTACAATGTTGGTAGTGCTCTTGTGTGGATTGCATATCTGACTGTTGACTGATACTCAGACGCCTCCTGCCAGCGACCTCATTGTCCCAAAGCTGATGTTTTTACCTCCAGCATTAGCGTCAGAATGATGTGTGTGTGAGCGAAGAGAGGCTGTTGCTTTTCCCTTTGTACTTCATTATGATTTTCTCATGTGATGTTTTTTTTTATTTTATTTTTTTAATTTAATGAGGTCACTGGCAGGTTGAAGGGATAAACCTATACTGGCGAGGTTCTTGCTTTGTGTGAGTGAGGATTCAGAGAAGGTCTCCCACTTTTTGTACTATCACACAATGGTGTAAAAAATGTAAAGTGTTTATTGGATAATAGTTTTGGATTTGTTACTGTTTATATTTGCAGGATGTGGATGTATTTTCTTCATGTATTTTGTTTGTAAAAATGGATTTCTAATTTACTAGCATGTTTGCTTTTGCCAATAAAGATGGAGGAATTGGGTGCTTATAAGGCCATAAAAAAAAAAAAGAAGAGGGGAAAAAAACAGAAAACATACATAAATATAAATTGGATCTGGGAGGGAAAAGAAAAGTCAAAGAAAATGAAAACATGTCGGCATTGGCAAGGGGGGGAGAATTTCCAGGCAAAAGCATTCCAGAAAATATGAACCTATTCTCTTGTGTGGTCTCATTCTTCTTGCACGTGCTCAGTAATTAAATAATTCACACTGCGGTATTAGTACTTACAATTAAGCATAGCATTAAAGATTATACCTGTGCTTAAAACACATCAAATGTTATGACTAAACAGTGGAATTACTGAAAGCCATTAGATTTTTTTCCTTATACTTTAAGTACTTTGATGCATGAGTGCATTAACCTTTTTTTTAAATGGTGTGTTTATCAAACCTCCTGACAATTTTGTTTTGCATGTATGAGTTTTAATTTACATCATATTTGCTACATCTGGCATTTTTTGCAATTTATACTTAAAGTTCGGGGTGAAGGCACTGATGACGTACAAGTGTCAGGAAAGCATATCACAAATGACACTTAAACCCCTTATAACACTGAATTTCCTTATGGTAGAACCTACTTTGAAATTCTACTCTATGTGTGTATTCACATTTATCCAAGTGTTATTAGGTCAAAATTTTAGCTCTTTTTATTGGGGGTGGGGGAGCTCGAGCCTATCCCGGCTATCATAGGGTGAGAGGCAGGCTGCAACCTGAACAGGTCATCAGCCTGACACAGGGCTAACACAGAAACATGGACAATAATTCACACCGATGGGCTATTTAGAATTATCAGTTAACCTATCTCCACTGCATGTCTTTGGACTGTGGGAGGAAGCCAGAAGAGAATCCATACAAACACAGGGAGACCCCAGGCAGATTGTGGGGTCGAACTCCCGACCTTCTTCCTGTAAGGCAACAGTGCGTGCCACCAGTCTGGGAAGTGTTATAAGGTCATTTCCAAGCATTTTGAAGTCCATCATGCCATCAACATGATTATTCACAAGTGGAAAATATTTAAGATAGCTGCTAATCTCAGGAGTGGAGGTCCCAGCAAGTTTATCCCAAGGTCAGACTGAAATACGTAGAGAAGCTGCAAAAAACACGAGCTACATCTCAGACTCTACAGGCCTCAGTCAGCATGTTAAATAATAAAGTTCATGACAGTACAATTAAGAATAAGACTGAACAAGTGTGGCTTGTTTGGAAGGGTTGCCAGGGGAAAGCCTCTTCTCTCTGAAAAGAAGATGGCAGCATGGCTTAGGTTTGCAAGAAATTGGATCTGAACAAACCACAAGATTTCTGGAAAAAAAAAAAGTCCTCTGACCAGGGGAAACAAAAGTGGAGTGTGTGCCCATAATTAAGCACGACATATTAACAGCATACCAACTGTCTGTGCACTTTGCAGTCACTTCTCTGTATCCCAATGTGAAGCCATCTGCCCAACAGATAAAGCTGAGGAAAAAAAGAAGTGAGATTCTGCAACGGCCCAGTCAAAGTCCAGATGTCAGCTCAACTGTACAGTCATGCATAAACAAACGACAACCCTCAATGAACTGAAGCAGCACTGTAAAGTCGAGCGGGCCAAAAATTCCTCCAAAATGACGAAATGAGAAACTGAAATCATACGGAAAACGATTACTTCAAGTTATTAATTGCAAAAGTAGTTTGATTCTAACAGATCATTAACTGTGCGACCTCAGAGTAAAGTAATTCATTTAAAGAACAGTCAAGTTTGAGAAGCATCCTAAAGACCATTAATTAAAGTAAGATGGGTCGGCGCCCAGCGTCACTATGTGATAACGATAATGCGAATAAGTAGATGGGATTTTTTTTTCATGAATTTCCAGAACACATGAAAACAACTTTTGCATTTTTTATTTTTGTAATATTACATAATGAAGGGTAATATTAAAAAGAAAATTTGTAAAGGAGATCGAGTTACATAAAAGTGGGGTCAAAGCTGATTTATGGCTTAATAATTAGCCAATAAGACAAGCCGTTATGGTCATGGGCGTCCACTTTGATACGTTCCCAAGCAAATCCCAACGCATCTGAGTGAAGACACCACAGAGCAGCTGCGAAATATTAAAATATCACTGAATAATGCATAGCCATTTCTTACTTTAGGAAGTCAAGTGAAAACACTCAGAATCTGTTTAGCTTAATGCAAGAACTTCCAGCTCGTCCCAGGGGAAAGGACTTGAAGGGCTTGACAGTTCAACATTCCTACCAGATTTCATTCTGACCTGGTTACTGGGAGGTTAAGGAACAAGCACTGGGAGAATTGACTTGTGTATTTAACTATATCATCAAAAGTAAGCTGCTGATTGGTAGCGCGCTTATTCATTTATTGTTGCTTTCCTGAAATGATTCATCACGGTGTGTAATGAAGGCTGTGACAGTATTTAGATCGTCTGGTGGAACTGAGCTCCAGATGTAGGCTGGCCAGGTGGATGGACGGTGCTGATGGCGTGGTGTGGGGACACGTTGGAGAGGTGGTGCTGCAAATATGACAAAGCTCTTTATAAAACATGTCAGGGCCATCTTCAGAATATGAAGAGTGCAAAGATGACATAGTACAATGACCACTAAATTATGAATAGCCCCAGCAGTGTAATAGCAAGCAGGGGTTTCATGCTTTCTACAGACTAATGCGGAGATTCAGGTTCTTGTATCTGATTTTTATTCTCACGCTGGTGAAAAATGATATCTTCTGGTGAGATCGCACGTGTTCACAACTCAGTTTAAATAACATGTTGGGTAACTAAAAGTATCCCACGAGCGATCAGACTCAAAAAAGTCAATCAGGGGTCAATCTCTTTAATGCATTTAAAAGGAAGAAACTTGGAGGGTGTTTTCTTCTGCTGAAAGTGAAAAGTTTCTCAAAGTCTGAGAGGCGTGCTTTGTGACATCACGCTTCAGCCAGAGGCCAATCCAGGTTGAAAAGGCGACTTGCAGAGCTATGTGGAAACTTGAAGCCTGTATTCACATACCGTGTGGATAGTCTGTCAATGATGCAGAAGATTATAGTTACATTTTCGAAACTAAAAAAGATTTAGTTTAATATTTTAGAGGCATGCCTGCAATGTAATACCAGAATATACAACAAATTATCGTTCAAAGAACGTTTATCTGCGTTTGAATTACGCCAGAAGAAGATCATTAAATGTATCTCTATGAGTCTGTGTTGAGTTATTTGAACGCAACACTCGCAAATATGAGTTAAGGCCACATGCTTTTTGCAACC